AATTAAAAGATGCTTGCTTCTTGGAAGGAAAGCTACGACCAACCTAGATAGCATATTAAAAAGCAGAGACATTGCTTTGCCAACAAAGGTCCATCTTAGTCAAGGCTATGGTTTCTCCAGTGGTCACATATGGATGTGACAGTTGGACTATTAAGAAAGCTAAGTGCCAAAGAATTGAACTGCTTTTGAACTGTGGTGTTGGAGAAGATGCTTGAGAGTCCCTTGGATTGCAAGGAGGTCCAACCAGTCCATCCTAAAGGAGATCAGTCCTGGGTGTTCATTGGAAGGCCTGATGTTGAAGCTGAAACTCCATTATTTTGGCCACCTGATGCAAAGAGCTGACTCATTGGAAAAGACCCTGATGCTGGGAAAGATTGAGGGTAGGAAGAGAAGGGGATGACAGAGGATGAGATGGCTGGATGGCATCACCGACTCAATGGGCATGAGTTTGAGTAAACTCCGGGTGTTGGTGATGGTCAGGGAGGCCTGGCATGCTGGGATTCATGGGTTTGCAAGGAGTTGGACACCACTGAGTGACTGAACTGAACTGAATTGATCCAATGTGTTTCTACAAGTGTTTTCTCCTAGGTTTTAGCTTGTTTTCTAAGCTCTTGATACTGCCTTTCGTAGAGCAGAATCTTTTAATTTTAATGAAGTCTAGCTTATCAATTTTTCTTTCATTGGTCAGTCCTGAGGCCAGGATTTTAATTCAGTTCTTTGAGGTAAGAGAGCTCAAACTTTTCTAGAAAACTTTACTCTGAGCTTAAAGGGACCTAAATTCTGGAAGTCATTTTGAAATCTTTGAGTCTAGAAAATAAAAGCAAAAAAAAAAAAAAAAAAAAAAATGTCGGGCAGCAGAATTACAGGTGAAGAGAGACTGAGTTTTGATAACAATATGAGGTCCTGAATCCATCAATATTGAAGTCAAATACCTTTGACTTTTTAAATTTTGTGACAAAAAAATCCATGCTTTGTTTCTGACTGTGAGTCAGAATTTTTCTCATTTTTAAGTAAAGTGATGAGAAGACCATATTCATTGTCCTAATTTGAATGTATTATATTTATACAATTAGATGATTGGTAGAAATACATATGGAATAGAGTTAATGTAGAATATATAGATTATAAGGAATAATATACTGATTTCTTTGCTAAGAAACCATAATACATGAATGTCCATTTATAACTGAAAGGATTATTAACAAATCCCAATTAAAAAGTAGAGTGGAGCTTGTGGAATGATTTTTTTCTTTGTCTTAGAACTCTACCTTCGCAATAACTGAGAATCACTAATTTTTATTTTTTTTAAGTCTAACATAAGTATAACAGTCACACTTTATTATTTAGGATAATATATTTTATTTCTTATACTGTAAAAAATAAAAAAAAAGGTTTATCAATTTTCAGCATAGCCTGTTGATTTTGAACAGAATAAACAAAATTGGTAAATAAGCATCAGATGCTTTATAATGTAATTCTATATAAAATTCACAGTTAGATGCATTCAGTTATGCAAAACATGGGAAGACTAAACCCCCAGAGACTCTCTTATTTAAAAACACAGTAAACATAGTCACATGCATTAAACATTGCAAACCATCTCTCAGTGTATGTCTTTTGACTAAGTAATGAAGTTATGAATAGTTGTTGGGGAAAATAGTCAAGTCACCAGTATGCTGTTTATATGTCCTTGGTGGCAAGTTGCCACTTGACCAAGAAGACTTTACCATTTATTTAAAGCTGTTGCTATCCATGTATAAAAGACAACATACATATTTCACAAGAGATTTTGATTTCACAAAGTTTCAAATTCCATAGAAGACTCAATTTAAGGCAGTTATTTATGCACTTATGTGAATATTTGAAAACAAGATATAAAAATTTTCTTAAGTGAAAAAATTGACATTATTTTATAATGATACAATTTTTATGACCCAGGATGTATGTTAGGATTTTTCATATTATGCCTCAAAAGACAGTGATTTTATGGTTCACATTAGCTTACCCCTGATTTCACATGAATGATCTGGAAGGGATCACATTTTAAAAATATGAAATCATCATGAATAAACTAAGTAATGAGATATACTTTCAGTGATATATGAGTACCATTTTAACTAAACTGAAATAGTCATGAAAGAGTAGTATAGGTAAGTACAAATACTTACATATCAAAATTAAATTGAGGGGATAAGGTGAAGTTAAGTACCAATTAATGAGTCACTGGAGGATTCTGAGTAGTGGAGAAACACATGAGTTAATTCTTAAGAATTAAATCAGTAATGATGTGAAGAATGAAGTAGAGGTAAAAAGCCTCGGAGTTAGATGAACTTTATGACAAAACAATCAATAGTGTTTAGAGACTGATTATAAGTTGTATATGAGGGAAAATAAGAAATCAAAATTGGGATCAAACTTTCAAGCCTGAGGAACAGACAGAATTTAGTTAGTATTACTAGAGAGACGTCACAAGTCACTAAGCTAAACTAAATGGACAAAGTGGTTAGTTGTTTCTAGTTGACAAGTTCAAATTTAAATGTGAAATTTGAAGTGAACACTGTAGAATCTAAAGTATCTAGAGGCTCTTGAGATCTCAAACTGTACATGACTCAGCAGAGAAGGAAAAGTATGGATCTGGATAAACTGAATTAACTCCAGAGAAATGTTAAAAGCTTGAGAGTGAATAACACACATTTTTCTAGGAGACTTTCCCTTGCTGATAATTTTGTCTTCCTTTTTTACAGAAATAGTATGACATTTTTAAAATCATGAATTACTGGTTGGATTGTGCGCAAAGCCTAATTATAAATGAATATGTTTCGGGAGGTTTATATATTCTTGCCATTCTGGGGAAGAGAAAATTTTGTCAAACAATAAAATTAGAAAGTAAATAAATAATTTTCTTCAGATTGCCATTAAAAACTTCTCTTTTCCACCAGAACTTTTCTTATCATGATCTGTATTTAACACACAACTATTCAACCCTCTTTACTGACAAGATGGGCCAGTTCAGTTTCAGTTCACTCGCTCAGTCGTGTCCGACTCTTTGCGACCCCATGAATCCCATGACACAGAGTTGACTCTCTTTGTTCAGATGATTTGGCTTAAGATTGTTTGAAGTGCTGGTTAATGTAAAAGGAGCGGAAGTATGTCTAGGGAGTGAATCATGTGATAGAATTCTGTTGTTACCAGCTCTTTCCAAATGTAATATTGAGTAATCTTATCAGAAAAAGATGCTTGCCACCATTTTAGATGTGAAACCCCAAACCACTTGATCTTTAATAGTTATATTTGTTAATCTGAATGTAGGCTATAAAGAATATAATTGTATATGTGATAAAAACAAGTGACGACATATTCTCAAATAGATAACCACCAGATGGTAAAACAGACTGACTCAATGGGGCCAGCAGTATGATAAATTGTACTTAAATGGCAGATAGTTAGAAAGGAATCAAGAGAATAATAAATTCATAGTAGACAGTTTTAAGTTATAGCCACAGAATAAGCAATTTGATTAGATTGTTTACAATAAACAAATCTTTTTCACAATAATTTCTTCTTATACTATTTTCAATGGCTGCTTCTTTCTTTTTCTTTTGGTTCTAATTAATCCTTCTTTTGATATTCTTTGGATGAAACCTAGAAAAGGAAGATAAATAAATTTATACATAATAAAGTAACATAACAAAATGTAATCTAAAATTTTTCAAATTATCTTTCAATGTTTAAAATAAAAAAATTGTAATTGGTTTAGCAGTCATTTGTCTATTTCTTTGTGTAGACATCCTCTTTCTAAGGATGTCAGTTTGCATAAATGGGTAAACATTATTGATTTTTATTATTTATCTTCGGTTAGAAATTAATGCTTATTTTATTAAAGTGAACATGTGGCTGTATATGGTTAGTGGAGTTATAGATGATTTTTATTTACATATTAACACTCTATAAATGGGCTTCCCAGGTGATGTTAATAATAAAGAGTCCACCTGCCAATGAAGGAGAATTAAGAGACTCGATTTGATCCCTGGGTTGTAGAGATCCCCTGGAGGAGGGCATAGCAACCCACTCCAGTATTCTTGTCTAGAAAATTCCATAGACAGAGGAGCCTGGTGGCTACGGTCCATGGGGTCGTGAAGAGTTGGACATGACTAGAGTGATTTAGCATGCACACACTCTATAAATATGGATCATTTTTATTTTCAGAAGAAAATAAATACATTAAATTTCTATGCATATTTTGGTATAATCCTTTAAAATGAAAGCTTAGTATATAAATATTAAAAAGTAAAATGTTTTGCTTAAATTTTTTGGGGGGAGGAAGATACATTGAAAGACATTGAAAAGAACTGCAGCTAACATATCTGGCAATGTTATCAAAATGTAGTTGAGAAGACACAGTTAAATCAAAATACTGTTTCTTATCATAAATAGAACTAATTTTATACTTTCACAGATTAAAATTCATTCATGATTTCAATACAATTACTATCTTAAACAGTAGTGAATTAATGGGAGAATGCCCTCTATACCTTTTTTACAAGCCCTAAGACATGCTTTTTTAGTGGTAAAATTGTTCTCATTCCCTCCACATCCACTGTAGTTAAATGGGCGGCATTTCCCAATGACTGAATTGTAGTAGAATCTGGTCACGTTGGCTTGACACGGTCCCCTGTCTGCTGCGGTCAGACACCAGGAGGGGCCATAATACTCTGAGAAGATCAAGAAAACATAGTAAGTCATATATAATAGTTAATCTGAAACTTTCATATTTATTGTTTGTAGATTAGTCTTATTAGGCATGTTTATGTGAAACAGTAATCTGAATAAATAACATAAAATTCATATATTTCAATTCCAGGAAAATGCTTAGCCAGTCTCCAAGTGTGCACTATACTGAGACCTTTCTCCAGTAAATATGAAAGTAGGTATATCTGTTAAAGGAAAGTGCCAAGACTACTCTTCATATGACAAAACTAGTTTTACATAGTATAAACAACCACTATTCAACAATTTACTTTATGAAAATTTATTAACCATATCCATTAAAAAATTATCATTGCTTATATATCATGTGTTCATGAGTATTCAACTTAACAAATAAAGTCCTGATGAGCAAAAACTTTACTCACTGTATGAAACAAAGAGAAGCTAAGAAAAAAGGTCATTCCCTGACCAAAGTTCTCAATGACATAACATATGTCATATAACATATGACAGTTTTAAAGCACAGGGATTCAGGTATAGCAAATTCTAACCTGAAGCTTTGGAAAGTGAACCCAGATGATTTGGCTTAGTAATAATATTTTTATGTGTGTGAATTAAACCAGCCGTTCTAGATGAGTTGGATATTTTTGCAAAGGAAGGAATACTGCTAAAGTCAGGTAAGATCATACATTTACAGGTTTAAACCAGACAGATGGGCTGGTCTGTCAATGGAACCAACCACTTTCAAAAGTAGAGGAAAAAAAATACAACTAGAGTAATGAAAGGATCACTCATTTCCTTATGACAAAGCATAAAAATGGCTTCAGCCTGATGATAGTTTTCAGCTCCTTCTGGAATTCCTGGCAGTGAGGGGAAGCTAATAGTCTTTTTAGCTGTAGACCTAAACTGCTTGATATTATTAGTAAACCAAAACTTCAGATAATTTGGTGGAAGGCCAGGAATCAATATAGCAAGACATGGTACAGCAAATGCAGATGAAGAGGATATGCTGAATGTACAATATTGGCAGAAAATAGAACTTAGAGGAATTCAGTAGCAATGAAAGCAAATAGTTTGTACAAAAAGCAAGAACTGGTTTGATGGTACCTGAACCCCAGGTGAACGGACTAGAAAATAAATAAAACAACTTGAGGGAAAAAGTGAAAAAAATCTTAAATTGATAAACAAAATTTTATAACCTCCTACCTATTTAAATAAAGATTAGAGTATCTAGATATAATGTCTCATGTAAAAGAGAAATTCTTGAAAATATAAGAGAAGCATTGAAAATATTACAGGAAGAACTTATGATAAACACTTTAGAAAGGTGACATTTTGTGTCAAAATCTAAGAACTGAAATCACATTAAAATTGTTTTACTTAATCTTTAAGTAGGTGTATAGACACTGGTTTAAAAGAAACTCCTAGGATTTCGTAAAAAACTTGACTAAAAATCATGTAGTCTAATTTATGTTTTGCCTCACCCCATTTAGAGATCATAGAGCATTATTACTGCCTTCTTAAAACAAAATTAAAATGTACTTGGTGAGAATGTGTGCTTAATTTTCTGAAAATGTCGAGGTCTTTTTTCTCCAAAAATGGTTAATGTAAGAGGAATTTTGTAACAACCTAGGAGAGATATGCTGTAATTGAGTCCAATATTGTGAAAGCTTTTCTAATAAGTGGTGGATTCTCATCAGTCCATAGCCAAGAATATAACATAGTTATCCATTGCCATTGCTTCTAATTCCATGACCTTCTAAAATCATCACCCATCCTCAGAAACAAATGAAATACCCCACAAGCAATTAGCCTGATTTGAGAAACAGAGAAAACAGAAGAAATTGCTATTCTTGAATATTATTCTCAAAAAATTACCCACAGATGCCTCATAATAGATGTGTAAGTAAGTATCATGGTATGATTTATACAACTATTTCACTTTAGCATTTGGTGCACAAAATATATTAGCCCACAATAAGTTGAAAATAATAATATATACATATACTATAGATATCCTTGTGTATACTTCTTTACAAATGTTATTTATTATGTCTTAATAGCAGTGCTCTAAAGCTCCTTATTCTAGGACAGACAGAAATTTCTGATTACAGGGAACAAATCATCTCTTTTTGCCTAACACACAACCTAAAGTAAAATTGGCCCCATAAAAAAATCAGTGTTATTTCAAAGTAAGGACAAATTGGCATAGTATATCTGGGGCTATAATTCTTAGATTAAAGGTAACAAGCAATGTGCCTCTGCATCACTTGAAAGCTAGAATCAAAACAGTCTCTTCACTGGGATCCGAAACCATGGAGGATCTATGGCCATACCACCCTGAACATGCCTGGTCTCATCTGAAACCATGGAGTATATACCATAGTTTTGGTGGAGAGATATACTTCTCTGTTTTCCTTAGGTCACCCAGTCTTCCAACAGTTTGCCACTGACCAAACTACTCAGAAACCAAGGGAAAGAGCAAGAAGAATGCAAGGGATAAGTTTGAAAGCAAACAGACAGTTGACAGTACAGATTCATCAAAGAGTTTCACTACCTGCTGAACTGCCCCAAGTATCAGATTACCTCTGCCTGAAACTCTTTGTGACTTCCGAATCAGAGGGTGTGTGGAATGCTGCTTCTGACAGTCTGGGATCTGGTGTGCAGACTTAACTGTCTCTCTTACCACAGAGCAGCTCCCACTCAGAAAGTATTTCTCCATGACTGATCTGACAACTATCTCATTTGTTTGTCCTATTTTAATCACTACCTAAACAGATCATCAGACACAACTCACATTTGACCCAGGTTAATATAGAGAGATAATAACATTTTGATAGGGAATTAAAGCTTGACATTAATCACTAAGAAGGCTGTATCGGGTAAGCCAAAGATTTCTTTTTCTTTTTCTTTTGGGTTTTTGTATGACATCTTATGAAAAACCTCAAATGAACTTTTTGGCCAACTCAATATTTCAAATTTTAAAAACTTATGTTTTTAATACTGCAATAAATCACCATCATTTGGGAAGTTTTTATAAGGATATTACTCTTCAGAAACATGAATTATACCCACCACATAAACTATTTCTCCTAAAATCATTTAAGCTTGAAGCAGTTAAGACAATCATTGAATTACTCTACTATAAAAAACAGAATTAAAATACTGAAGCAGATGGTTTCTCAAGGACATTATAGCTCCAGATTTATTGAGTCCTTGAGTATCATCTGGTTCAATCTCTAAAGGTGAAGAAATAGAACTTTTTTGCTCCCTTTCTGGAGATAAACTTGACTATTTTCAATTAACATATTTATTCTAGATAAACACAAGGCACTCACCTATTCAAAATCCAGACTTTGATATCTACAATAAAATAAAATATAAAGGTTTTGAAGTAGTTGCACAATGTGATAGTTTGGTCTAGATTATAATTTGTGGAAATTTAAGATTGAATAAAAGACATTAACCTGACTTCTGCTCATTTCCAAAGGGAATTTAATAACCAAATGCACTGTCTTGACTTTACCATTGATAACAAGTTGAATAGCTTCCATTTAGAGGGTCTATGATAGATTTAAGAATTCAGAATTGATTCATATTCTGCCAGGAATTGCAGTTGATATAGTATGACTGCTAAACTATAAAATGATATTCCAAAAGCCAGTTTTATATGTAAACTGGCTTATGTAATAGCTTTGAAATTTACACACTAAACCTTTAATTTTGAACTTACATTGACTCTTTATATGGTGTCTCTGTTTCTGTATTATTTTCAATTCGGTTCAATCACTCAGTCATGTCCGACTCTTTGCGACCCCATGGACCGCAGCACGCCAGGCCTCCCTGTCCATCACCAACTCCCAGAGTCCGCCCAAACCCATTTGCATTGAGTTGGTGATACCATCCAACCATCTCATCCTCTGTCATCCCCTTCTCCTCCTGCCCACAATCTTTCCCAGCATCAGGGTCTTTTCAAATGAGTCAGCTCTTCACATTGGGTGGCCAAAGTACTGGAGTATCAGCTTCAACATCAGTCCTTCCAATGCACACCAGGACTGATTTTCTTTAGGATGGACTGGTTGGATCTCCTTGCTGTCCAAAGGACTCTCAAGGCTTCTCCAACACCATAGTTCAAAAGTATGAATTCTTCAGTGCTCAGCTTTCTTTATAGTCCAACTCTCACATCCACCCATGACTACTGGAAAAACCATAGCCTTGACTAGACGGAACTTTGTTGAAAAAGTAATGTCTCTGCTTTTTAATATGTTATCTAGGTTGGTCATAACTTTCCTTCCAAGGAGTAAGCGCCTTTTAATTTCATGGCTGCAATCACCATCTGCAGTGATTTTGGAGCCCCCCGAAATAAAGTCAGCCACTGTTGCCACTGTTTCCTCTGTTTCCCCACCTATTTCCCATGAAGTGATGG